CAGTTGGGAATCTGAGCAGTGGAAGATTGAGGGAATCTCAGCTGATAAGGGACACCAGGACTAGTTGTGCTACCTAGATTCAGTCCTGGGTAAGATGTAACCAGCACACACCCAATGAGTACAGAAGCAATGGGGCAGGGACTCCATTGGCTGTGGACACTTACAGGAGGGTAGAGTTCTTGGTTTGGGTTCCAGTCCAGAGGGGAGAACTGAGGGAGGATCTGAGGTCAGAGGCACCATCCTCCATACCCCAGGACTGGAGGTGATTACGATGATAAGCTGCTATAAATAAAAAAAAATGAGCAAGCAAAGGAGAAAAAGCCTAATTATAGAAAGCTACTATGGGAATAGAGAAGACTGAGGTATCTCTTCAGAGGAGGAAACTGGAATAAAAAAAAAGCCTCTCTTACCCCAAAGAGTAACATCAAATGGTCACCTGCCTCAGAAGAATTCATAGAAGAATTTAAAAAAGACTTTAAAAATAAAATGAAGATATTAGGAAAAATAAAAAAACAGAACAATCCAAGAAAATCAAAATTATGAAAAGAAAATCAACCAAGTGGAAAAGGAGGTTCAGAATTTTAAGGAAGAAAATGACTCCTTAAAAATTAGAATTGGACAAGGAGAAGCCAGCAAAGTAATAAGAGACCAAGAAATAATAAAACAAAATATAAAGAATGAAAAAATAGAATAGAATGTGAAACATTTCATAAGAAAAACAACTGATGTAGAAAACAGATCAAGAAGAAAAAAACATAAGAATAATCAGACTACCTGAAAGCTATAATAAAAATAAATAAAAAACTTGATACAATAATGCAAGAAATATTTAAAGAAAATTGTGCTGAATCATTAGAACAAGAGGGGAATGTAGAAATAGAAAAAAAAATCCATTGATCACCACCTGAAAGAGATCCTATGAAGAAAACCTACAGAAATATCATGGTCCAATTCTTAAAGGAGAAAATATTACAAGCAACAAGAAAAAAAAAACAATTCAAATATGGTGGAGCCACAATTAGATTCACACAAGATCTAACAGCAGCTACACTGAAAGATCACAGGTCTTGGAACACTACATATCGAAGAGCAAAAGAACTGGGGTTGTGGCCAAAAAAATCAAGCCAGCAAAGTTAAGCAAAATCCTGAATGAAAAAAAAGGATATTCAATGAATTGCCAGACTTTCCAGATTTTGTTGCAAAAAGACCTGAAATCAATAGAAAATTTGACATACAAAATCCAAGAGAAATATAAAGTAAACATCAAAGACCAATTAAAAGGGACTCAATAAGGGCAGATTGTTTACTTTTTATATGAGGAAATATAAAATGTATGTCTGAGATTATTATTAGTAATTTGGTAGCTAAAAAGAAAGATTGGGGTAGACTTGAGTATGATGTGATTCTAAAAAGTAAAATCATTTAGGAAAAAGTAAAAAGAGTAATCATACAAATGAAGTGTGAGAGGAAGAACTGACACAGAGGAATTAGATGGGGAAGGAGGGCTGATAGTTCTGGAACCCTATTCTCATTGGGAATGGGTTAAAGAGGGAACAATACATATATGTCTAGATATAAAAGTCTTTTAAATTCAGAAAGAAATAAAAGGATAAGGGGACAGAGATGGGGAGAGGACAAGGGAAGGATTTTTAGTGGGAACCCTACTCACACCACATCTGGGTTAAAAAGAGAAAAATATATACATTTAGAAAGCAATAAAAGTTTTCTAGATTTATAAAGAAATGAGTGTGAGGAAATAGGCTAAGGGTGGTATAGAGGGGTGTCTAGATTAACAGGAATGGGATAAAAAGAGAATAACATATATATTTGGAAGGCTATGAAAGTCTGCTAAATTCAGATAGAAACAAGAGGTGAGGGGAAAGGGTGGGGGGAGAGAGAATAAGGGAGAGATCTTTGGAGGGGGAGGAGGTTAAGTAATAGAAGGGCAAGTTAGTTGGTAGAAGTAAAATTGAGGAGTCAGGAGGGATAGGAAATGAGATACATAGAAATATAAAATAAAATCAGGAGTAGAATTAATTAGGGAAAAAAAGCAGAGGTAGCAATCATGATCTCAGACAAAGTTAAAGCTAAAATATATTTAATCAAAAGAGAAAAATGGGGAAACTGCACTATATGTCAGCCATATTAATCATATTGTTTTAGACTATTTAATATAACCAAGTAGTATAAGGTTGGACTATTGCTGTGGTGTAGGAAATGATAAGTTGGTAGACTTAGAAAAATATGGAAAGACTTGGACTTATGAAGGAAGATATTATTCACCCTCAGAGAAACAGAAGACAAACAAATATAGTATGGTCTTACACAGATACATATGAATGTATATGTTTATATATGAGTACGATTATAAATATCTAAGTACATGTATGTGTATGAAAGTATATGTATGAGGGTGTATATTTATGTGTATATATGTATATATATGTATGCATGTTTGTGTGTGTATGTGTGTGTGTGTGTGTGTGTGTGTGTGTGTGTGTGTGTGTATTCCTGCTAAATTGTAACCTTCTTGGTGGAGTGAGGGGAGGAAGGAGGAAAAAAAGAACAAAGTAAAAAGTACACAGCAGAGAATAAAAGACAACTTATAAAGAAGTAAAGAAAAGTCAGAGAGCTCTGAACACAACATGTAGTATCACAAGACTTTCTTGAGATGGAAATTTATTGCTGTCACAATTTATTGCTCTCACATTCTGCTGAGCACATGACAATGCTTTTTCTTCCTTTTCTTATTTTGTATTTAAGTTTTAGTATCTAAGTTGATAGTGTCTCTTTTTCTTTTCTTATTGTGTATTTAAGTTTTAGTATTTGTTTAAAACAAATAAATAAAAATGATTAAAAAATAAATAAATTGTTGGCTTAGATCTAGAGAACAGAACTAGGGGCAATTGGTGGGATTTGAATAGAAGAAAATCTCAGCTTGGTTTTAGGAGAAAAAAATTTCCCAATATTGGAGCAGTACAAAAGGGAAATGACTGTCTCCAGAAAAAAGTAAGGTGTTCATAATTGGAGGGCTTCATATAGAGGCTGAGTGACTTTTTATTGAGGATACTATGGATACATATGCCTATGATTTATTTCTATCCCAGTCGCCCTATCATGCATCCCTTCACAAATCTAAGAAATATGTCTGACAAAAGAATTATCTCGATAGGATAAACAATATTCTAGAACAGCAGCACTTGAACCTACATCAGAGAACCCAAAACCCCCTGTGCTTCCTTTACACCATGTTCTAGTAAGGTCAGCTAAACAAGCTATCGGGCCCATACCCTGAAAATGTCAGTATATACCTCTCCCATACTAATGTCTCCATATGTACTCTTAATATTTCATATTTCAACCTGCTCTGGTGCAGGTTGAAATAAATGGCCCCATAAGCTCCTTCCAGCTCTGAAATTCTGTGATTCCAAAGTATTAATTCTGAATGGGGAAGTGAGTTAGGCAGCTGCCTATGACACCAAAAAATGTGGAATTTGGGGTGATATGTAATGGAGAACAGAGCATTAAAAGAGCACTGCACCTTGGTTTAGGATTTTGACCTAAAATTTTAAATCTCATCTCTAACACTTAACTAGGTGCATGAGCATGGTCAAATCACTTAACCCCACTGAGCCTCAGTTTCCTCATTTATAAAAAAGGATGACAATACCTACAACACTTTAACTTACAGGCATGTTGTGAAGATTAAATGAGATGAAAACCTTAAAGTGCCATAGAAATGCCAGTCATTATTATGTATATTACTCTATTTTTTTTACAGGGAGGTAGTCTAATAATGGATAGAAGGCTGGCCTCTGTGTTAGGAAGATCTGGATTTAGGTCCTGCTTTTGGCACATACTGGTTCTGTGACCCTGGACAAATCACATAAATTATCAGTATTCCAGGCAACTCTCCAAGAAGGTAAGTCCTGGATTAACAGATAAAATCAAACATTTCAATCATCCAAACTCCTCAGGGGAAAACAAAACCTAAAATCCCTCTTTTTAAAAATCCATGTATGTTAATGATAGGAAATTTTCTGGGGGGCGTGTATTTATTTTGTAATAAGTCAAATTGTAAGTCTTACAGTGAAGGCTCAAACCCGTCAGTAGCCACAAAGGAAATGTACTTTCCAAACTTTTCAAGGGCACATATATGTCTTTCTCCAGATCTGTATATAATAGTTGGTTCTTGTAGAGATGTATAGACACCTGTGTTCAGCACTGAAGCTTTACTTAACAAGATCATTTATGAGTCAGAGACCATGTCTTCTGCCCTTTTTTAAAACCTTCTACTTCATGAATATTTAATTGTTTATTGATTAAGCACCAATTGCTATCAATATGAACGTAAAAATACCTGGGTTTTTGAAAGCAGGGTAGATGGAAGGGCAGTGTAGTGTTTGGGAGACAACATTGGATTGGGTGCAGACCTATGTTCTGAATTGCCACTAGTGAACTGTATAATCTTAGATGAATCACTTAACCTTTCTGAGCTCCCATTTCTTCATCTGTACAATGTGAAAGATATGCTAAATGACCTTGATATGCTAGATAACCTAAATAACCCAAATAACCTCCCTTCTAGTCTTAACAGTATGCTTTAGAGACAAAATATTAACAGCTGATTTTAAATGTAGAAAGTGCAAGTTCTTGGTATGTGCAAAGTCAGACCTGGAGTTGGTAGGGCTTTGGGTTCTTTTAATACAACTCATTTGCAGAAATGAGAGCAACAATAGGATCATTTTCATTTCCATATTTTTTTTTTACTGATCAGAAGAGTTAATTGTAGCAAATTAAATGGAAAATTTTTCTTTTCTTTTTTTCCTCCCAGCACCTCCCCTCGCCCCCCAGCTCCCTGGAGAGATGTAGGCTAGTCGTCTGAGGTTGCCCCAGAGCTGATCTGTTTACTCCTTTGGAGTGTGGTTTTCACTGTAGGATAATGAAAACTGCAGGGTGGTTGAACATTATGTGGAAAACAGACACTTTCAAGCACATTATGCAGTTGGCATGAGGAATTTATTCTATCTATGTACAAGTAAGCATTTGTAGATATTTTTGTTTAAAGTAAAGAACAGAGGAATAGAAACAGTATTAGCATGAAAACTACCAGAGTGGCTTAAATTGGACTAGAATAGAAGTTGCAGACCTTCAAAAGAACACAGAAACTTAACAGAATGAAGGGCATATTGTTAACTAGGACAGTAAAAAACTGTACAGTGCAAGCAACACCTTACAATAAAATATGATGAATGAGGCAGTCTTTCCAAAGGAAAGCTAGGCAGGGCATTTGGGGACTGATGGAATAAAGTATTAAAATCTCATAAATCCTCCATATCTCTTCTCCATTTCTGGAATTTCTTTGGAATAACTTTCTCCTTCTTCATCTGAAGGCAAGGAATCAGCGAAGCGCTTAAGAAATCCACCATACCTTTTCTGGTAGTCCAGCCACCATTCAGGCCTTCCGACTCTTCTCATAAATCCCCCATATCTTTTCTGTAGCTCTTTTGCTTCATCTTCCAGCTCTGGACTTCTCTTGTAGCTTCTCATGAAGCCCCCATACCTCTTGCTCACTTCTTCCTCATTCTCATTACCTTCTCGGTAATGTCCTGCCTCAGAGTTGTCCCCTGTTCCTAGCAGCTCTTTCAGCAACAGGTCTGACGAATTGACCAATGCATCATCATCTGAATCTTTCTTCATGAAACCTCCATATCGTTTGGCAAGGACCTCTCCTCCATTCATCTCATCTTCTGGCTCCACTCGATAAAGCTCATCCATTTTCTTCATGAATCCTCCATACCTTTTCATGAAGCCTCCATACTTTTTGGCTAGAAGATGACTCTCATCTTGTTTGCTTTCTCCTTGGTTGTTGGCACTTTCCTGAGAAAGATCCATCTTGGTCAGTTGAAGAAGCTCCTTACAGGTGTCCCAGGCTTTGGCAGATGGCAATTTCCCTTCACATTCTAGTGTGCAAGCCTGTGAAAAATGATTAATCTGATGGTAAGATATTATTGTGGCTTTGCTGCATCTTTTATTCACACCAGCTCTAATTCTTAGAAAGGTTAATTAGATCAGCTTGAAATATTTGTGTTTATTAATATTAATTCTTGTTGCTAGAGAATGTTCACATAATAAAGTAATCTCCATTTTCTCACTACAAATCTTCATTACCCTGGATGGATATTTAAGGATAGGGATAGAGGTGGGACCCATAATTTCATTGACATAGGCAATTCTTTGTCAGTGAAGATAGACATTTTCTTTGTAATGTGTGGCCTTTGAGAGTTGTCTAGTGCACTAAGGGGTTAAGTGACTAGGGCTATAATGTCATTATATGTCAGAGGTAGGACTTAAAATCAGATGTTCTTTGAACTACCAGTTTCTTTTATAAGCAGTTAGCAAGTTCAAATATTACGGAATTACAATAAATAATTACTATAGTATAATTGATATTTAAAAGTTTGAATTTTAAATTAAAATTATTTGCACCTACATGGGAGTGATTATATTGACTTGGGTTGACTCTCTTGATGACCCAAACTTAGTATATGGTAGCAATTCAACTTCACCAATGTGACTGAAACCAAGACTTAATTAGGGAAATGTTATAATAAAATGCATTTAGCGTAAAAAATTAATTCTTTGAATTAGAACACTTGTTTGCAACACACACACACACACACACATACATGTAATTTTATTGTAGCTAGCTCCCAATACTCCTGTTCCTCTTCATTTTACCTTTGTATTATAGACAACAAGAATTCAAAAGCAGTTGTGTGAAAAGTCTTAAAATTCAAAACTAAGCTTGATAATGCTGTAGGGTGGCATGTTAAATTGAAGTACAATTTTTTCATTTTAGTCTTATCTACTTTATTTTATCATTTTTGTTCTGAAATTTTGGCTCTGAGGTCTGACATAATTAAAATATTATAAATATTCAAACTTGAAGGCCATTCCTTTCATAAACACTTAGTCACTGCAAAATTGAAAGTCTTTTTCAATGGATATCATGTTATTCAATAAAAAGAAATGAATCTGCATACCACTCTTCTCTTTATTCATTATACAGTAATTAACCAAGGTAAGATTTAGGATGAATTACTCCTAATGATACTATTAAGATTCTCCTCTACTCAACAGGAGAATCTATTCTGCTCTAAATGTGTAAATGCTTCAAAGAAAGCATCTCAGTTGATGTGTTTTTGGTATAGTTCCAAGTCACCAATGTTAAGGCTATGTAGGCTTAAATAAAGAAATTATTTCTGTTTTCTTTTCTACTATTATGAATATATTCCTATAAATTGAATGCCTTCCTTACCTTTGTGGGGGCATTTTCCATTTACTGATCAATTATCAAGAGTGAGGGTTCAAAAAATATTTGCTGCATTAGAATCTTAGAAGAACACAGGATCATTGAGTTGGCACTAGAAGGGAGCCCAAAGGACATCTAGTCTAACTCCTTATTTTGCAAATTAGGAAACTGAGGCCTAGGGAATGAAAGTGACTTGCCGGCACACATAGTAAGTATCAGAATTATAATTTGAACTTCCATCTTCCTAGTCAAGAGCTAATACTCTTTACACAGTACCATGCTGTCTCCAAAGTACATAATCCTGAGATTGAGCTCCATGAATTGAATTGATTTGCACTGAAGAGGGATTAGGAGTCAGAGAACCCGGATTAATACCTTGGTTTTGATTTTGTGGAAGTAAATTCTCTCTGGGTCATAGTTTCCTCATCTGCAAAATGAGGAAGTTGAGGAAGCTGGCCTCCAAGTTCTGTTCTGGCCCTAAATGTTACATTTATATTCTAAATTTTTATAAATTGCTTGGAGAAAAAACAGGTTAGAAAGAGGAAAGTGATGTAGTTAGTAAAAAATTATTTAAATATACACAGAATATTTTGTTGCATTTATAAACATCTTTCTCAAAATACATATATATGTTATAGCTAGGAAAAGGTTATACATTTTAAAAATAATTATCAAAGTTAATTACTGTTAAAATATGAAGTTGTAACTTCATATATATAAGTATATAACCTAAAATATGAAGTTATAACTCATATAACCTTTTTCTTCTAGACTTAAAAAAAGTATGTCCCCTTAGATCCCTGCTTTTTCTCATAGAAAACATGTCACTGTAGGGATGATGACATTCTTTCTTTGTTAACTACCTTGCAACCTCTACCAATTTCTTAAGGATTTTTCCACAAATGTGTGGTATAGGTTAGGCAATTAAATTTCCACAATGCTTTCTCATGGTAGCTTATCTCTCTACCAATGCAATTCTAGTGATATTTACTAAATTAGGATAACTCTAATTCTGACTTAAACCCATTATTAGTTAGCCATTCAAAATGCCTTCTTAAGAGACTATTTTAGTTCCTTGAGAAGCCCATCTCTGTTAAAGAGCTCATAGTTAAGGGTTCTGACCAATATCTGGGCAAAAATGTTATCAGCTTATTCAAAGTACTTAGGAAAATTTGGGAAAATGCTGCTTCTTTTAAAGTAGTCCCTGAAAGATAGAGAGTAGAATGGAGAAAAGATTATAACAACAAATGATGCTAAGATTTGGGGGGTAATTTAGCTCTTCCACAGGAGAAAATTAAAAGAGTAATAGTATGTTGGGAATTGGATGAGGGGAAAGATTAAAGAAGAAAAATAATTGAACAAACAATGCCAGTCTTTCAAGTCACTTTAAATACAATGAACAGAGTATTCTAATCTTCATCTTAATTTTAGCTCATTAAGCAAGAAAATTAGAAATTGCATTATCATTTAGCCAACACATGTGAGGACAGGGATAACACATGCTATGCCTCAGTATTAACATGTGCAAATTGTTCCAATGTACAAATGTGAAAGTTGGGTGCCAGAGTATGATTAAAGATGGGAGAATTGTATCATTAGAAACATAGGGTACATTTCTGTAGAGTTAGTGACTGACTCCTCTTTTCCCTTGTTTGTAGTTCTCCACATGGGTCTATTCTATACTTAGTTTCTAGACACAGTCAACCTAAAGATTAAAAGAGAATGAAGAAGGAAGGATGAAGGACACAATGTTATTTTGTTATCATCATACAAAGCTCCATTATATAGTTTCATCTACTCATTCTTTTATCATTTAACAATCTACGTGCCAAGAACTCAGCTAGACAATGGGAGAAATGTGAAGACAAATAAGACATGGTCTAGTTTAGAGAATACATTACATATATAAATATTCAATAATATGTAAACATTTTTATAATAATTCCATATCTGCATACAGCAGGTGAAGTAGAACTAGATTATTTTGCCCAAGAAAGGCTGCCTTTAATCTTAAATATATTAAGTATGTTAAATAAATATGTTAAGATTTTTGTTCATTGCAAATACCAAAGTATACTTGAGGGGGAATCTCTACTCCCCCCCCCCATGGAAATTAAAACTTAACCATTGCCTTAGGAAGAAGATTAGAAAAATATATATTTTCAAAAATTCCAAGTACTCCACACAGAAAATGTCTCAAAATAAATTTCCCAGGGATCTGATTTTTGTTTTGAGCCATTTGTTCTGGATTGGTCTTTCTCCACCCACCTGCACCTTGCCTCTCTTACTGTTTTCCAATACTATCTTCAACTACTTCCCAATACCTTCTGTAGAGTGGGAAAATTCCAGTCTAGTAATTCTTACAGGATGAAAAAAAATTCCCATTTCTTTCTTGCATTCTCTCATTTCTTCTTTTCTACTCTACCAACTTCTTGTCCTTCTTCCTTCCCCTCCATTTCTCCTTTCAGCAAAGGCTGATACTGTTAAGACTTTCAGTGAAATTCAGACTGATCCAGAAGGTATCTTTAAAGTCATCTAAGCAAACAGTGTTATTTTACAAATGAGGAAAATGAAGCCCAGAGAGAAATGACATGCCAAAGCTACACAATAAGTAGCAGAACTGAAATCTGAACCCTAGTTAGTCTCAAAATCTAGTGCTCTTTCTACTACAACTAAATTGTCCACAAAACAATACCACTACTCATCCTTTAGTTGAAAGTAGTTGGCTCTAACATTAGTGTCTAGTGGAATGAAGTGGTGAGGTATATAGGGAGCAAGGAGTTGGCATTGTGGGACAATGCTCATGGGACAGCAGTGAGTCTGCTGCTCTCCGAGGTCCTGAAAAAACTGCCTGGGGATCTTTTTTCTTTTTTTAAAGTGGATTAACTCAGCCGATCCATATACCCAATTGTTAACACCCCCCCCCACGGATTAAAAAAAAAAGTCCAACATAATAGTCCTCACCAACCGCCTACTCCCCTTCCACCTCCCCCTTTTCCCAAAACCAAAATTCTGAGCCATATTTCCTGCGGGACACAGAGTAAGTTTAGCTTTGGAGTCAGATTTGCTCTCCAGTTCCTTCAGGTGTAACAAAGACAGTCTAGATTGTGGTGACGGAGAGGTGCCCCACTACTTATGCCGTATTTAAGTAAAACAGAAATAAAATGTAATAACAAGGATTCCGCACTTCTTTCTCTTCCTACCCCTATGCGTGCTCACCAATGGATTGATGTCTGCATGCTGTCCCAGACGGTAGGTGCAAGAGGTGCAGTCCTTGCTGCATTCCGCCCTGATAGTCAGGAAGAGGCCAGGGCTGAGAGCCAGAAGCAAACTGCAGAGCTTCAGGAACAGCGCCATGGGCTGAAAAGAGAGAGTGGGATGCATAGCTCAGCCACTGTCTGACCATCTTTTGCTAACGCAAAGGAAAAACCGCTTTTCTTCTCTGATCCACGAATTTATTCTCAGGCTACTCGCATTCCCTATTTCCTGAAAGGCACACACATAGGAGCAGCGAGATCTCAGATTCCAACTAGTAATAAGCATTTACCTTTTCTTAAGTACTCTGTCTCTCCGGACAAGCCTCAGGGCAAAGGGAAGGGGCTTCTGTCTTTACTTGCCTTGCGCTGTCTAACTAGGGAGTGAAAGCATAACAGTTGGATCTTTTTTGAAACCACCAAGATAGACTGGGTTTTGTCCTTTCTTTTAGGCGAGGTCCTAAGAAACCTTACCTTCCTGGGGGGCAGATTTCTCCCCTTTAGAACGCTGTGGACGCTGAGAGCTCTCCAAAGTATGAAATGGAGTGGCCAGGCTCAATACCAAGGAAGACTAAGCACACCAGCAGAAGATATAATACAAGTTCACTCGCCAAAGGGAAAATAGAGGAGGAAAATTAAGAAAAAATAAATAAAAGAAAAAAAAAAGAACAGCAAATAGATCCCCCATATCCACCAAGAAAATCCAATATTTTAGCAAAGTTTACTTACATAGATGCTTCCTTGGATCGAATGTGGGCTGGCTGAAGTGCTTTGGTTTGCTCACCAAGTATTTATAGCGGAGCAGGGCAATTTGCGTTCCAGGAGAATCTCTAGAAGGAAGAAGGTGGGGGAGGGGGAGGGGAGTGGAGGGGAGAAGGGGAGAACAACAGAAAAAAAGCAATAGCCTGCAGTTCCACCTATCAGTGCTCCTGGCAAAGCTTACTGGCAAACAAACTCTGTTAGAAAGTAAGGAGTTATCGGTAGAACTATGATGTCGTTACTTACCGACTTCAGTTGGTAAGTGAAGTGGATGGACGTGAAGGGCTGGGAGCTCTCCACCTGAGTCAGTGTGCTGGGAAGTGGATGGAATCACTTTATAATTACTAAAAAAAAAAAAAGGAAAAACTCAAGCGTCCCCCAATCACCTACAGTCTCCAGCTGACGCAGGACCTACGAAATCCCACCTCGGACGCACTTGCTATCTTATTAACTATCATCACTAAGAAGGAGCTGAGCCAGACAGTGTGGGATTGGATAGGATTCATTCTCTATTCTTTCCAGTAGGATTGGGAGGCTGGGGTGGGCTTGTTATTCACACGTGGTAATTTGCTGGATATTTCCTACACATTAACCCTAGGCCCTTTGGGAAAATTTCCTCTCAAAACATGTTTATGGGGGGGGGAGTGGCAGAGGGGGTGGCTCAGGCATTTTCCCATCAATCATCTGAAGGTTTCAAAGTTCGATTAATGGCAGATGGCCGTGAAATGGAGAAGAATTTCATCAGGGGAGTTCCTTAGGTTTCTTGGAAATGGTATGTGTAAACAGCAGGGCCACATCAGACTTGTCTCCTCTCTTCCTAAAACATTTTCTCAGGGTCATAGTTTCAAAGAACACTGAGGACATTCATACCAATCCTGAGTTACTTCCCATTAATAGACCAGGGCAGGATATTTCTCCCAAAGTTAAAGCTTCTCTTAGCAGAAAGCAAATCCTAACAGTCTCCATTGATAAACCCCAAAACAGGTGGTCTGAAGTTGGTACGCAATCATGTTGCAGAGCTGACTTGTGAGTAATTGTATGGCAAATGCTTGTAACCTCAGTGGGGGTCCAAGAAAAGCATCATAAAGTCAGGGATCTCATATCCACACTCTCCTTGCAGATATAACAGGTTTAATTCTGTGGGGAGAGAGAGAACGAGTGATCTAAAGAGGAACTATGTCCTGGAAGGTTTGGAAGGGGAAAATCCATCACTTTTTCACTTTACTTTAATAGCAACAAGAAATTCTCAAAGTCCTGGAAAAGCCCTGTTAAAGAAATCATAATATTTGAGCAGAAGGGACAAAGCATGTGAAAGACTTTGGTGCCAGTTAAGTTCGACTCATACCTTAGGTGTACTTATTGTTTCTGCTATTTTTGCCACTACTATCATGCAGAAGGGATCTAGACCGACAAGAAGAGGGGAAGAAGGCAGGTAAATGATGAAGGCTCTTTATCTGAAGCTCCTCTGTTGGGCTCCGGAAATTCGAGCTCTTTGGACGGCCAGTTGTAACTCTGCATCTTCTAATTTTGGTCACTAGAGGGCAGCGCGCTTCTGCGCAGGTTCCAAAGAGCCAGGTGGCTTGGCCTTGCTAGCTAGCCAGGGAGAGGATGCTGGTCAGGGACTGCGGCTGCAGGCCTGGGGAGTCTGAGCAGAAGAATACAGGTCAAATACTAACTACCTTCACCATCTTGTTGTCTACCAGGATTCAACTAAAGGCAGAGCTTCTTGCTGGCATTGGAGAACTAGGGGAAAGCATAGATATTATCTTTTAGCAGTCTCCTTAGTCTTCTGTATTTCATGCAAGAAAAAGGCATGATTCCAGTGGGACTTTTTATGCCCTTTATAGATGCAAATTATCATATTGTCCCCAGCTACTATACTCTCCCTGCCCGTGCAAGCCGGAAAGTGGAAACAAATGCTTTCTTTAAACCAGTTGTTTTTCACCTCAATTGTTTTTGCCAAGAAGTGGTGTAGAAAGAATATACTATAGAATTACAGTACACATGTCTTTATCTGAGCACTTAACTTATTCATGGTCAGGGAGTAATAATAACTGGGATGTGAAAATGAGGGGGATGATCTTATTTACTAAGTTATTTCTTAGTAACAGTGTACACGAAAGCAATAATATCCTAAATTGCTCACTAGAGACCAAAAGGAATCAGAGAAGCATGAAATCATAGAAGTTTTTAACTGGAAGGGAACATAGAGACCACCTACTTATAGAAGGAGAAAATCACAGAATATTAGAATTGGAAGGGACTGTGGAATTCATCTAATCCAACCGTCTGATTTTTACAGATTAGGAAACTGAGGTCCAGAAAGATTTATCTTATATATGTATGTATGTATGTATGTATGTATGTATGTATGTATGTATGTATATGTATGTATATACACACACACATATATAGTATGTATATATATACACATATATATACACATACATATATATATACATACACATACACCCCCTGACATACATATCCTCACCCCCCCCACACCCACACCCATACACACACACATATACATATGTATAGTTTGTTCATAGCTGTTTGCATGTCATCTTCCACCCTTTGATCGTGAGCTCCTTGAGTGCAAAGATTTTTTTCCCTTTCTTTGTATCCTCATTGTTTGGAACAGTGCCTGACACATAATAAGCACTTAATACACTCTTGTTTCCTTTACTCACCCCTTTTGGAAAGCTTTATAGGAACCATAGGCTCATGTTTTAGAGTTAGAATAAACCCTAACAACCATCAAGTCCAAACCTACCTTCTTTTTATTGATAAGGAAACTGAAGCTGAGAGAGATTAAGTAATTTGCCTAGGCTCCCACAACTACTAAATGTCTGCAGGAGGATCTGAACTCATGTTTTCCTCACTCCAAGCCTAGTGTTCTATTTACTTGGCTATTGACTTGGCTCTAAGGGGGGGAGGAGGGAAGAAAAAAAGAGAGGAAGAAAGGCAAGGAGAGAGGAGGGAGTGAGAGAGAGTATAGAAGCAACTATTTTTGTGCCCATTATGATAACCACCACTTAGCCTTCCCATGGAAATAAAGTTTACTGAAGTTCAGAGACTAAATGTCCCTTATTACTTTTTCTCTGAATGGGGGCTGAAGTTATGGAAACTAATGATTTAATGGTGCAGCAAGGCATTTCCTAATTCCTTTCGTGTAGTTTCCTCAGATCTTTAGTTTTATTCTGGGATTAGAGTCTTGACTCTATCAGACCTAACAGGAGATCTAAACTCATTTGCACCAATCTATCTAATAAAAAAAAATACTACTCATGCTCAGAAAGGGTGAGGGACTTCACTGTTACTTTATCTTTACCTCTGAAATTCAGGAACCTTTAGAAGTCACTCCATGTCCCAACTGAATAACCAGCTGGAGTTTTCCCTCAGACTCTTGAGTTCAAAAAGTTTTTGGGAAAGAATGTTGTAATTGTCTTCCATGTTTCATGGGTTTAGATAATGGCTTAAATACACTGAAATCTCCCTGACTTGCATCCATTCTCCTTTCTCCACTTCCCTTTATAAAATTTAGGAGCTAGAAAGTTGCTGCTATGTCTATAGTAGAGATAAGGCAATGCAAAAATACTGTGACTTTTTTGCATGAAAAGTACCCTGCCATTAGAGGCAGCTTATGGCACAATGAATAAAGCACTGGGCCTGAAGCCAGGAAGACTTCAGCTCAAATCCAGCCTCAGACACTTACTAGCTATGTGATCATGGACAAGTCAGTTAACCTCTATCTTCCTCAGTTTCCTCAAATGTAAAATGAGGATAATAACAGTACAGACCTCACAGTGTTGTGAGGATTGAATGAAGTAATATTTCTGAAAGCATTTAGCTCAGACTTATGATGCCATAGGCTGTATAAATGACAGTAGTTTTTTCAAGGCTGGATTTTGTTAGGTGTGAAATATTACTGTTATAAAAGTGACGATGAATTAATAGTGTTAAGTAAATAACTTTCAACCAAGTTTATGGATAAACATACAGAGAGGCCCGTATAAAGCATATGCTATTGAAATATATGGTTGGATCAGTGTGTGTGTGTGTGTGTGTGTGTGGTGGGTTAAAAGGAGAGAAAAGGTTGCATAAATTATATACAAAATATGCATATCATATGTGTACATAATATACATTCTATTAGCCATGTGATAGGTTTAAATTCTAAGGGATGATTATACATGGAAATTTTACCTTTCAAAAATCCAGAGAACTGACCAGACATTTGGTCATTTAGAGAAACAACTAGTAGTGAAAGCAGTCTGAAAATTTCCTTCAATATTAAAAAAAATCACAATATGATAAAAGGTCAAATTAATTAAATATTTAAAACATAGTGGTTTTACATTGCCAACTTTGAGGAATCTGGTGGCAGGGAATTTCTTAGCCTGGGCTCCTAGAATGTTGAGGGAGAATATCATTCACCTGCTAGATCTGATGACTGAGGGTCAAATAACACGCGTATCCAAACTGCAAAGCAAAGGATTTGTTAATATACTAAGGAAGATTGTTTGCTGATAGCACCTTCCACTTTCTAGGGAACAGATTTTTTTTTATAACCTTTTAGGATCATATGGAATCAGCCAATCAGCAACATTCTGAGTCAATTTGAATTAGATGAATGAAACATCTCATAGGAGAGGAGAGTAGAAAAAGGGAGAATAAGCCAATGGAAAAAGTGGATTTTATGAGAGACTGCATGTTACACAGCTGGCAGGATTTGTTATTATAATGAGAAAATACTCTCTCTTCAAGGGCAGGAAAAAAGAGGTGACTGAATACTTTCATAATTGTAAAATATGTTCATTTGATTTAAGAAAGTAGGGTTGAAGTAACCATTTAGATAAAACTGCAGATGTCTGCTATCCAACAACAATGTGCAATTTTTATGGCAGTGGATGAGACCATCTGCTTTACTGTGTTCTTATGTCATTTGTTGTTTTTATTTCTCCTTCATCGGTATAAATGGAAGAGTACTAAGCCAAGTCAGGACACCTCACTTATAGCCTCAGCTCTCCTCATTATCTGTGAGACCTTTTTAGATTTATCGTCTGTAAAAGGAGGACAATAATACCTCATAGGGTGAGGATCGATGATCAGAATTGAAATGGGTTTTTTAATTGTAAAGCAGTATATTGAGGTGAGTTATAGTTACAACCTGCAGATCTACATAACACTAGAACACATTTTACAGTTTATAAATCATTTCCTAAGAACCCTGGGTAGATAGTGTCTCATCTCTAGTTTTAAGGAAACTGACGTTCAGAGACATAAAAATGATGTAATTACTCTCACATGCATTGGGCAGTGGAAGAGCTTGGGCTCAGGAACATCAACTCAGTT